TAGGAACACAATCTAATACAGTACCAACATAAGTCCTGTAATAATATCTACTCCTAAAGATACGAAGTTATGAGTACACGAGCAACTAGAAGTTCTACAAATAGAGTCTGAAATAAAAACAAAAGTTTTGAAGGAAATGAACAGTAAAATAGGGAAGAGGAAGGGGACTTCAAGGTCTGTGGATGCCAACAGATCTACCTCAATTCTCTGTATACAATGATCCGAGCTACGCACCTCACGCACCGCTGGGACCAATACCAAAATCTACACAATAAGTACAGAAGTACAGTATGAGTACAACTGACCTAATGTACTCGATAAGTGTCGAGCCTAACCTCGACGAGGTAGTGACGAGGCTATGACATGATACCTACGTAAATAAACCTGTACAACTATATATATACGAAAAAGTAGCAAAAAACATAGATTAACAATGTACAACTGGGAGGGGACATGCGAAAGGGGAAAAATAGGACAACTACGGCATGAATGACATCACGTAATAGCCAAATAAATCATCAACCAATAAAGAAAGATAATCCAATGATATAAAAAATGGCACGACATCACCCTTCGTGCTTTAACACTCTTCCTTACCATGAAATGATGACATAAGTAAAATGGAATGGTGCAACATCACCGTTCGTGCTTTTACTCTCGATCTCACCATGTAACAATGAATAAATGAGATGAAAGGCATGACATCACCCTTTATGCTTTTACTTTCTCCTCGCCATAATATAATGAATAAATAATATAAATGGCACGCCATCACCCTTCGTGCTTTAATTCTCTTCCTCACTAGGTATTATCAATAAATGAGATAAATGCAATGGCACGATATCACCCTTCGTGCTTTAAAACTCTTCCTTACCATGTAATAGAGATAATATAAATTCGGGAAATAAATAATGCGGAGAATGTATCTAACGCCAAATATGATGCCAAGATACCAAACTTCAACTTTCAAAATACTCAACAATTACTAACTAAGCAATAATTACAGAAGGAATGATCAAATAAGTAATAATCTAACCTAAGCATGGATATCATAATTAAAAAGGCAATAAATCATAAGGAAACAAGTTCCACCCGCATGCTTTCATCCAACAACAACGCATAAGTACTTGTGACCTTACATATATGTTGTACCCACACATTAAACACATAGCAAATAGGCAAACGAGTCCTAATCCCTCAAGTCAAGGTTAACCACGATATTTACCTTGCTCCGCAATCAAATCAAGGCTTAACCGGGGCCTTTCCTCTAAATTTCGCCTCCAAACCAATTGAATCTAACCAAATACGGTTCAAGCAATTCAAAATAAGCTTTAAAAATTATCCATGAGTGAAAAAGATTCAGGCTTTAATGATTTCGGAAAGAGTCAACAAAAGTCAACCCCGAGTCCTCTTGGTCAAAACCCGAGAATCATACCAAAACCCAATTACCCATTCACCCCTGAGCCCGATTATGTAATAAGTTTTGAACTTCGACCTCAATTTGAGGTCTAAATCTCAATTTTTACAAAAACCCTCAATTCTACTCAAATACCTAATTTTCTACTATGTAGGAGCATATATTAAGGTTAGAAATCAATGGGTGTTGATAGAAATTGAAGAAAATGAGTTAAAGTACACTACCCTATGAAGTAGGGATGAAATCTCTCTTCAAAATCGCCTCTAGGCCGAGCTTTAATGAGAAGATGTTGAAAAATGGGTGAAATCCTGATTTTTAGACGTTTAAATGACTCGGTGTCACCTGTTCATCGCGTTCGCGATACACTTGATGCATTCGCGAAGAGCACTGCCCAGTTGGCCTTCGCGATCAAGATCAACCCTCCACGTTCGCATAGGCTTAGTCACGTAGAGTAAAGTTCAATTCCCCAGTCCCCCTCCTAACACTATGCATTCGCGAAGGAATGGTCGCGTTCGTGAATGGTAGACCCCTCACTGCTCCGCGTTTGCGACCAACTCCTCGTGTTTGTGATGAGTACTTTCCTCCCCAGTCCAGTTTCCCTTTTGTGATCGCGAGAGTACCTTCACGATCGCGAAGCTCAAAAGGTCAGACTTCATCAACAACCAAAACCATCAGATTTCTTTAGTCCAAAATCACTCCGTAGCCTATTCGAAACTCACCCGCACCACTCAGGCTCCAAACCAAACATGTATACAATTGTAATAATATCATACGAACTCGCTCGCGTGATTAAAATACCAAAATAACACCTAGAACTATGAATCAGACTTCAAAATGAATGATATTTTCAAAGACACTCAAGAACATGTAATTTTACAACCAGACGTCCGAATCACGTTGAATCAACTCCGTTTTGCACCAAATTTTGCAGATAAGTCATAAATACTGAAATGAACCTAAACTAAGTTCCAGAACTATAATTCGAACCTGGTAGCAACAAAGTCAATCTACGATCAAACTTAGGAATTCTTTTAGCCTTCAAATTACTAGTTTTCAACAAATTACGTTAAATCAAGTTAGGGACTTACAAATTCGATTCCGGGCAGACGCACAAGTCCTAAATTATGATACAAATCCACCGGGATCGTCAAAACACTAATCATGGTCCGTTTGCACAAAGTATTGACCTTAGTCAACTCAACTCATTTTTAGGGCTAAATGTCACATTTTAATCAATTTTTCACATAAAAGTTTTTCGAAAAGAGACATGGACGGTGTGCGAAATTCGAGGAAGGCTAAACGGAGTTATTCGATGTCTCGAAATACAGAAATGGAAGCTAAAATTAAAAATAACCTATAGGGTCATCACACAAAATCTCCTCGAGCTACTGGCTTCTAGAAGGAATGGTAGCGAAATTTGGTGATAATGTGGAGATATTTTGTCAAAGCCCAAAAGCGGATGAAAAAGCATGCCGATCAAAATCGTCGCTTTGTTGAATACCAAGTAGGAGACAAAGTGATGGTGAAAATCCCTAAGGGATACTTGTTTGTAGGGGTCCATGACCCTCACCTATTGCAAAATTACATTGGACTCTTGTCCATTGAGAAGCGCATTGGAAAAGTTGCATACCGGGTGGATACCCTATCCCGGTGGAAGACTCTTCCAGTCTTCCATGTCAGACTTCTGAAACCTTTTTGAGAAGACATGGAGGATCCTTCATGGAGCCAACTCATAATACCCAGTATTCGAGGCCCTAATTCAACAGGTAAAAGGCGTGTAGAAGCTATTCTTGATGATCGAGTGGTTCATGCTTCAAAGAAAGATCACCAAGAGTTCTTGGTGAAATGGAAGAGAGGGGAACAAACCTCAAAGCCTACAAAAGCCTGATCGATTATTATTTTGCAAGTAAGGTGCTGAGGACATCTCCAACTCAGGTGGGGCAGAATGTCATGGGCGGCTTTCCAACCATGCCTATGACCCCTTGGACGTGCCCCATGGCGTCCTGGCAAGCCTTCCAATGCCTAGCTCCATGGACGACCCCGTGATCTTGGCCGCGCCAAGTGACAAGCGCGATTGTGCCTATGTCACCCCAACGATATCCCTCGCCAGTGCCCAACCGCAAGCAGATGCCAACAGTGCCACACGCGCAAACTCTGATGCTAAAGACAAGGTTGCTGCTAATGGACCTGTTTCTATTTTATAGGAATCTAAGTCATTTTTATTGTAAGTATAGAGTAGTTTTACTTCATGTATTTTCATTATGTCTCTCTAACTTAGTTATGTCATGTCCTGTAACTTTGATTTATTTATTTTAAGCATTATTAGGGGGGATCAAGCAATCAGACTTTCAAGCAAGCAAATAGTTCTCTGTACTGGTGTCTCTCCTCCTCGATACCGTGTTACCTTTCTGTAATAACTTTCATTAATGCAATAAATCTTTCTTTATTTCTCCTTCTCTTTTCTATTCTCTCAATTACTATTGAAATTGATTTTCCCGTACGATACTGACAGTCTCGTCTATCATACGGAGGGGATCCCGTTTGGAGGATAGTAACTGCATATGCATCCATTTCCTAGCCTTACATCGTCCTTCAAGGAATCTCAGGATGACGTCGAGTAACAATAAGTTTGTGCGCTCAAATACATCAATTTTGTAACGCGTTTACTATAGCAACTTGCTAGTAATTCACTAAAATCAATTGCCTTTTAAGAAACATCAAATGCGTATAGGTCATTATCGGAGGCGGAGTTAAAAATTTAAATTTATGGATTTTCGCTTGTAGAAAAGGTGGCTTGCTGGGTTCAGGATAAATTATTTATACATATTAAGTAAATTTTTTAAAATGAAATACTCCCTCTGTTTCAATTTATGTGAACCTATTTGACTGGGCACGTAATTTAAGAAAAGAGATAAGACTTTTAAACTTGTGGTGTAAAATGAGGCACATATATTTTGTGTGGCTATAAATCATTGCATAAAAGTAAATTGTTTCCAAATAAGAAAATATGTCATTCTTTTTGGCACGGACTAAAAGAGAAAATATGTTCACATAAGTTAAAACAGGGGAGTATATGATTTGAGCCAAAGCTATTATTCTACCAAACCGGTATATAGTACACTACCCTCTTTCCCAGTCATAACATTTGAAAAAAGTGTTATCCATAATAAATCTGCCAATTCATTGAGATTTCAGACAAGTTGCTCAATTGTTCAGAAGAGCAATTCCATCTACTACTAAGTAAAACATAGATTCTTTCTGCGGATTTGCGATCCTAGTCAGTAACAGAGAAGAGTTTATTTTATTATAATATCCTCATAAGGAAAAACAAATAAAATACTGGAACAACATAAGACCTTTTATCCATAGTTTAAGACCTTGAAGAAATGGATGACTAAAGACACGACGACAAGCTATTCGACGACTAAATATTAAAGGATAATAATGGACTGACAGAAAGACTCACATATTGAAAACAAACAGACATCACTGAAAATCTCAAATAAAGCAAATGACAAACTCAAGCAAACTGGATAAACTCTTCCCTGATGATAATTGATAATGGCCTCCAATTAATTCCAAATTAATTAGATGCGGAAGTCTCCCCGCTGTCAGCGTCAACAGCAACATTCAAATCATTCATCATACAACTTTCAACAGAATTGGGTCCTGCGCTACGATTCTGAATTTCTTGGATGATATCCAAAAGTTTCTCCAGTTTTTCCTTTTGTACCATCAACAATTCATATTCCTTATTGCGATTATATTCAACTATATCAGAATAATTATTTTTACCATCATTTAGTTTCCACATTAAAAACTTATCTGCTATTGCGTCAAAATGATGAGGGGATCCATAAGTATATGGTTTTCCACTTGGGGAGAAGATAAGAAGACCAACTTCTGCCCCCGTCGTAATCGAAAGTTCATGTGCTTTTTTGAAAATGATTGCCTTTGTCTTTGCGAAAGCTGTTAAGCATTCCACCATAGATTCTAGCGCCTTTATTTCCGCCTTTTGCCTGCTCAAACTCTTGTTTTTTGCCATTGCAAAAGTATTAAAGAAAGGGGAAAGAAGGTAATTTGACTCTATTAGCGCTTGAGAAACTCTAAGGAGAAAGCCACTTTATTTATAGGCGGCAATATTCTTTTTAATCTATTTTTTGTTCCACTTTATTAATGAGTTGCATATTATGTGATTTTTTTTTAGAGATTTAAAACAATCCAAAATACTATAATATGATTATTCCCAATTTTGAAGGAACTAGAGTTACATTTAATTTTCATTCAAATTAATATCTCCATTATTTATATTTTGGGAGTATGCTAGAAAATTAGTTTGACTATCATGTCAAGTTAGATCTTTTACTATTTCCTCAATAGATAACTCCAACTAAAAGATTAGCTACTTCTAGTTAGTTGTTTGATACTTTCTTAGATTTATGAAATATGTTCCTTTATTATTTTTCTATTTTTGCATCATTTTTACCATTTCACTTTTATTCTCAAGATTTTATTGATATGTCATGATGCTCACTGATAATAAATTAATAACTATAAAGCATATATTTATTAGATTTCACACCTAAACTTTTGGATGTTCAACCAGTGAAAAATTTCATCTATTTATGCATTACTAGATGGATATACAAGATTTTAGTTAAACCCTTATAAATTGGTTCTTTTCACGACCCAAAATCCAACTAATCGTGATGGAACCTAACCCAACCCGTCAGGTAAGCCAATTAATAACTATCCAATTTAATAAGATTTATTAAAAAAAGAAATAATAACACACCTATTTTTATATAAGAATTTTCCAATGACTAGTAGTACAAATCATGAGTTTCTAAGATATAGAGGTTACAAAGCTGGTTTAAAATAAAATACACCATCTGTCTGAAATATACATGAACAGATATGAAATACTAAAGCTACCAAGATCAAGAGGCAGCTATGACTGGAACGCAGGTACATCTTCAGATCCAGCTCCTGCCATACGCGGCTACACCAGCATCCAACATTTGCACGCAAGGTGCATAAGTGTAGTATGAGTACAACCGACCCCGTGTACTCAATAAGTAACAAACTTAACCTTTGGTTGAAAGTAATGACGAGCTGGAACAAGGCTCAGAGTCCAACTCCAATAAACAACAACAATCATAACAATAATAATAAAATGGCACGTGAAAATAACTTAGAGGTAAGATGCTCAACTCGTTTACAGTTGTGGAAAGATAGGCATGCTTTTCAAGTATAACAGTAAATCCCAAATCATTCACCGAAAGCACCAAAAGCATATGAATAAGTTTGAAAATCTTGATTTTTCCCAAAAAAATCTTTCAACAATAAATAAGATGTTTCGTTTTCAGATAACACGAGAAAAATACATCTCTATACCTACATGTCAATATACAGGTGAAATCATGAATGTCACCCAAGCCGGGTAGCAAAAGGAAATGCATCTCTATACATGTATCTCAAATACGCATGTCAAATGCAATGTATCTCAATTATGAACTCATCTACTCACCCTCTCAGAGTACTCCATCTCACTGTCTCGTATTCTCACTCATCATGCTCAATACTCAGCACACTCAGTCATTCAGTACTGTGCAGGGCAGATCCAGCCCAAATGCAAATCAACCAAGGCAGATCCAGCCTAAAGATGCAAATAAACCAGGGCAGATTCAGCCCAATGCAAATGAACCAGGGCAGATCCAACCCAAATGTTAATGATTCCTAGCAATTGCGCCCACTGTGGGTGTGCAGACTTCGGAGGGGCCGATCCAGTCCAAGCACTATAATAAGCCAAGGCATGAATCAATAAAGCATGCTACGGCATACAGCCCGATCCCATAAATATTACTCACAACAGGCCCTAGGTCTCACTCAATGATCAACCTTTCCAGTCTCTCGGGCTCACAACACCCATGCTAAGCAACCCTAATCAATGATATAAGATGTGAAAATATACGATAACAGAGACTGAGATATGCTATGTAATAATGAATGCGACCGAGTACATTACTACAATTAAGCAAATAACCCAACAGCAAACAACGACCACTGTGGATCCCAATAGTACCAGCATATAACCTAAATATGATTTCTAGCATAAATTACTGCTCAAGTGCTCTAACACATAGAGTACAGTAAAATATTCAGATAAGCTAGCTACACAGTTTCATGAAATCGACTAAATCACAATTCATACAGTGCACGCCCACACGCCCGTCACCTAGCATGCGCGTCACCTCAACATTAATCATGTAACACGTAATTCGGGGTTCATACCCTCACCACCAAGTTTAGAAGTGTTACTTACCTCGAACAAGATAAATCCAATACCGAGCAAGCCAGACGATGCTCCAAAATGCCATCACGCGCATATCAACCTGCAAATAGCTCGAAACTAGCCAAAAGCAAATTAAATAATTCCAAAGGAAACAAACCCAATCGATAAAGGTCGAATCTTTAATCAAAAGTCCAAAATCATCCCAAAAGTCCAACCCGGGCTCGCGCCTCGGAACTCGATGAAACTTATAAAATCCGATAATCCATTTAATTACGAGTCCAAACATACTAGTTTCACTCAAATCCAACTCCAAATCGATGTTCAAAACTCAAAAAGTCGCTTTATGAAATTTTAGACAAAATCCCCTAATTTCCTCTTTAAAATGCATTAACCAATTGAAGAAAATGAAGATAGATTTACCAAATATAATAAAAATCGAGTGTAGAATACTTACCCCAATCTCCGTGATAAAAATTGCTTCAAAACGCGCTTCAATCTGAGCCCCAAATTTCAAAATATGATAAAAGAACCAAAAATCTAGATTTAATATTGTTCTACCCAGACCTCGTGGCATCTGCGACATCCCAGCCGCTTTTACGGCATCTCTTCTGTGACTATCTTTTTGCTTCTGCGATAACCACTAACCAGCCGACTCCTCGCACCTGTGGATCTCCATCCACTTCTGCAAAACCGTAGGTGCGAAGCCAAACACGCTTCTAAGCTCCAACTCGCTTCTGTGCCCAAGACTATCTCTTCTGCGAGGCCGCAGATGCACCCCAATTTTCGCACCTGCGAAGACTCCAATCTCCACCCCTTTACGTGGGTGCGACTATATTATCGCTTCTGCGATCACCGCACCTGCGCAAAACCAACCGCAGGTGCGCAACACTAGAAGCAACACTTCTTCAGCAATGTAGCATGAGACAAAAATGATCTGAACCACGTCCGAAACTTACCAGAGCCCCTAGGAACCCCGTCTAAATATACCAACAAGTCCCATAACATAACACGAGCCTACTTGAGGCCTCAAATAACACATAACAATATCGAAACGATGAATCGCACCTCAATTCAAACTTAATGAACTTTTGAACTTTAAACTTTCAAAACTCGCGCCGTAACATATCAAATCAACTCGGAATGAACTCAAATTTTGTACACAAGTCCCAAATGACATAATGAAACTATTCCAATTCCTCAAACCACAATTCGAACTCGATTCCATCAAAGTCAACTCCCAGTAAAACTTATGAACTTTCCAACTTTCGTCAATTAGCGCTGAAACCTTCTAGAAATATCAAAATACAAATCCGGGCATACGTCCGTATCAAAAATCACCATCCTGACCTAACGGAACCATCAAAACTCCGTTCCGAGGTCAAATTCACAAAATTCAAACTTGGTCAACTCTTCCAACTTAAAGCTTCAACAATGAAATTCATTCTTCCAAATCGATTTCGAATAACCCGAAACGGAGCTACTCATACCCTCAACTACCGAGCGAAGTACATTGCTCAAAACGACTGGTCGGGTTGTTACAATTCTCTTCCTCTTCATAAGCTTTAGGTTATTATGTTCATACGTTTTTCTATTACTGAAGCCATATTAATGTAAGAAAGGGTAACATGAGAAAAATTAACTTATCAAGCTGTTTTTTTGTGGGTAAATAATACTTTTATTACCAGTTGAGAAGTTACAGCTCAAAGAAAAATGAGAATGAGAGACATACTGTACATCTCAAGTATGCCGAATTATATCTCACTATACAACTAAGAATAATATTTCTAACTAGGATAGAAGTCCAATCAATTTAATCTATTACCCAGTTTCGGATTCATCATTCCACTTACAAATACTTCTTGAATGATCATGTTGATGATAACTTCTACTGGTCTTCTTTTGTAATGAAATACAACTTGAATCCTCTCCTGCCATACAAAGTAAATACTTGCAGCTAGAGACATCCTATATCTTGTAGCTACAACATTTTTGCCGCCGCTAACTCTCACATACCATCGTAATTCCTCAATCGTTTTTCCTAAAGCTGGTTTTTTCTCCCCCTTTCCATCAAAATGCTCCCAGCATAGGAGCCTATAGTTTTGTTTACCCGTAAAATGGTATAATTTGTAACATGGTATATCGACACGAAAATTAATTTTATCCAAGAATATAAAATAACTATGAACGGAAATAAATTAATTAAGGAAACTCAAAGAAAATACAAGCCTGGTTGTGTAATGAGCTTTTCTGGAAGCAAAAATAAGAGCAAAGTATAAAGCAGAAAGAATGTTTAATAGAGTAAGAACAAGTTTAGCTTTTTTTTGTGTACAAATATTTCGTGTCTACAATGAGTACAAAGTCTTCTATTTACAGCTCAATTCAGGAAGACAAGATCTCCAAATCAAGATTTTCTTTAATATAAATAAAAAGCCCTCTTGATGGCTATATAACGATTGAGTATTAACGCTAAGATTCTTTGTAACGACTGCTCATTAAATGCTACTTTTTTCAACGATATCTTCCTTTCAAACATTCGTCCCCGGATCCAGTGTCTTCGGATCTTATACAACACCTGTCACATGTTCGTAACCGGGGCCAGCTATTTGCTGATTCATATCCTATTTATCTTTATTACCACATGTCAACTCGACCAGCATCCACCTGTCATTCATCAATTTTACCCCATACATATAGTCCCCCTACTTTTCAGTGACTAAACTTTATGTTACCGGAAAGTAGATAACATTCCT